CCGACAAATTTTGTCACAATTCTCCAGCCCTGCACAAAGCCGATAGCGATTCGACACTGGCCAGTGTGATACCCACCCTGTCGATGCTTTTAGAAACAATACCAATCACTCTAATTTGACTTGAGTGCCTCTAACACTGGCATTTCTCAAGCGCACCCTCTCTTGAGACTGGACTCTTGTGCTATGCTCATCGCTAAGGTACGTACTATCTTCCAGATGCACACCTACGAGGATTGAAATCCTTACTCTCCAGGAGCAAGTAAAGCATCTTGAGAGTCGTGTCCAAGAGCTTGAAAAGGCATTGAATGCGGAACGACTAGAGGATACAGAGGGTCAATTGATCTGCAATATAGAATACTCGGAGGATGACATGCAAGGTGTTACTTCAATGAATGGACAGGAAGAGTCAAAAGAATTCAAGCGGTGGAAGCAAACTGTGCTGACGCAATGGGAGAAGGACCCTAACTCAGTTCCAGGGGGCATTCGCCTACTCCCCAACAGGGACGACACCAATCTTTATTTCCGGCTACACAAAATTTTTACGAAGGATCGAATGAAGTCCCAACTTACGGTCATCACGGAGGCGACTCAACCTCAAAAAATGAAACTGGCTAGTGGAGCACAATCAGCTGTTGCAGAAGATATCAAGTACAATACACAATCCTTTGTTGCTGATGATGTAAGGAATCACCTCGTGGCACAATGCAGATGGGGCCGTAAGGATCTTAAGGAAGTATATCGCTATTGTGTGGACACACTGAAAAAAAGGACTCTGTGAGTGAACGAACTACCTCAATTAGGCTATTCATTGACGCTGCTATCAGAGTATCCCAGCCCACTACAACAGGAATGGTCACTCGTAATACATCCAAAGTGACACCTCCTGAAGGCATCCCAATCGGCCCAAAGCATGTACCAACTGGCCCAAAGGGGACACAAACTGGCCCAAAGCGTGTACCAATTGGCCCAAAGCGTCGTTAAAAATGATTGATGTTATATAATGTATCATATTAGTAAACACTAGTTGTCATATACTATCTAGTTCAAAGACAAGCCCATCAAATATGATATCAAAGGATCTTTTCCGGGCCAATGTTCATTCTAAATTGAGTCGGGAGAGTTGGAATGGGCCAGTTTGAGCAAGCGATAGGTGGCACCCAAGAAGATAAACCTCACAGATCATTTCTACTACCGCCCCTGGGTTTTATGAGTTAAAATGCGTGATAAATTGAAGTTAGTAATGTAGAGGAATGAACATCAATCTATCTAATTGTTGTCTTTTCACATTTTCCTGTATCCGCCGTAGTTAGTATTGACCAATGAGGAATGAGGCAACACACCAGAGCCTATTCCATGAGGACGTGGGTTATAGCCCCGAGGCCATTGACTGCTTGGCCAACTCCACCATTGTTAATGACCGGCTGATTGTTGTTCAACACA